GAGATACTATCTTATACCTTTCTAAGGTAAAAAAAAAAAAAACACCAATGATAGCTTATGTTTGAGAGGATGTGAAGTAAGGGGAACACTCATCCATTACTGGTGGGAATGCAAACTTGTACAACCACTTCAGAAATCAGTATGGTGATTTAACAAATTGGGAATCAACCTACCTCAGGATCCAGCAATACCACTCTTGGGCATATACCCAAAAAGATGCTCAATCATACTACAAAAGCATTTGTTCAACTATATTCATAGAAGCATTTTTGTAATAGCCAGAACCGGGAAAAAACCTAGATGCCCCTTGAACAAAGAATAGATAAAGAAAATGTGGCACATTTACACACTAGAGTTCTACTCAGTGATAAAAAACAATGACATCTTGAATTTTGCATGCAAATGGATGGAATTAGAAAACATGATCTTGAGTGAGGTAACCCAGTCCCCAAATGTACTCACTTATGGTATGTACTCACTTATAACTGAATACTAGCTATAAACAAAGGGCATTTAGCCTATAGTTCATGATCCTAAAGAAGCTAAGTAATAAGATAAATCCAAAGAAAAACATATATTGATCCACCTGGAAATTGGAAAAAGACAAGATTGCCTGATAAAATTGGAAACATGAGGGTGGGGGGAGAAGTAAGAGGAAAAGGAGGAGAGGAGAACTGCACAGTTGATGAGAACTTGAGGGAATTGGATAGTCAAGATGGAGGAAGGACAGAGATGAGAGCAAGGAAAGAGATATGTTGATTGAGGAAGTCATTAAAGAGTTAGCAGAAACCTGGTTTTAGAGAAAATTTCAGGAATCGACAAGGATGACCCCAGGTAAGATCCTAAGCAATAGAGGAGAGGGGGCCTGATCTTGACTTGCTCTGTAGTCAGACTGATGATTATCTTAAATATCACCATAGAGCCTTCATCCAGCAACTGATGGAAACAGATGCAGAGAACTATATCAGAGCACTGAACTGAGCTCCCAAAGTCCAGTTGATGAGTGGAAAAATGAGTATATGAGCAAAGAGGTCAAAATCATAATGGGTTCACACACTGAAACAGTCTACCTGAGCTAATGAGAGTTTACTAACTCCAGCCAGACTGGGTAGGAACAAGCATAGGACAAAACTAGTCCCTCTGAATGTGGTTGACAGTTGTATGCCTGAGACTTAGGGTGCAATGGTGGTGGCACTAGGATTTATCCCTACTGCATGTACTGGCTTTTGGGATCCTATTACTGTTTGGATGTTACCTTGCTCATCCTATATATAGTCAAGAGGGCCTTGGTTCTTCCCCAAAGCAAAGTGCCTTACCCTCTCTGAGAATTGAATGGGGGTCAGTTAGAAGGTTGTGTGGAGGGAATGGTAGGAAGGGAAGGAATGGGAACTTGGATTGGTATATTTTAAAAATCTAATAAATTTAAAAAATGAAAATGACACTTGTTTGTCATTTCCAAAATGGTATCCCGTTAAATGGATGTTATTTTAAAACATTATATCTGTCTCAGTTCTAAGGCTTCTCTGTGAGTTCTGAAGCTAGTCATCAGGATTATGTTTTTAAGCTGCTAAATTCCTGTTATAATGAAGAGAGTAATTAACCTGAAGCTCTTTCAGTGAGGCAGGTTGGTACTTTCAAGAATTTTTCATCATGGATGATAAAAATTGTTAATAGCCTCCCCTGAAGACTTATTGAGGGCAATATAAGTACATTAATCATGTTTGAAACCGATTACACAAAATGTTGTTTGGCACAAATGAAGGAATATTTAAAATTTATGGGCAATCCCTTTAGAGTTACAATTTAGATACGATCAGCGATCCTTCTTTGCAGTGATGTCACTAGTCTCTCTTGGGCTAGATGGAACTCTTGTCAGGAAAAGTTAAGCTCAGGCTACACTATTTATTTAAAACATATAGTTTTAGAGTATACCCCCACTTGAAATGAATGAAAAAAATGTTGGAACTGTGTCCCTAATGACCCAAGGTTGAATCAGATCTAGTAATATAAAAAGAAGTCTAGAATGGCAATGAGAAATGCTGTTACTCTCTCTCTCTTCCAGCATTCTAAGCCTGTTGTTGGTACTGCCCTGTCTCGTCAGTGAAGGACAGATGGGCTGGTTTAACTCAATCCTTTTCCACTTCACAGTCTGCTATGAGTTGAAATGTTCATGCTCCAAATTAATATATGGATATCCAAACTCCCAAGACCTCAAAATGACACTTTTGTGAATTGGACCACTTGAAACGAAATGAGCTGAGTCAGGAAAGGGTCATATTGAAGCTAAATAGTTTTCTTAGTCCAGAATAATGGAATGACAAAGTAAAATCAGACAATCAACAAATCAAGCATAAGGAAAAACAGGGAAATAAAATGCCATTGTTTCTTTGGTAAATTAAGACAACATTTGAGGAGGAATATAAATTAGCTGCTTTTCATTACAGATAACACAAGCTTTCAAACTGTTAAACTTAGTTTCTGGATCGCACGTATTTAATTAGTAAAAATCACAAGTAAAATTCTATAGTGTTTTTTTCATTTTTAATTTAACTTTTTGTTTGTTTGCTTGTTTTTTTTGGGGGGGTTCCTCCCATTCCCTCCATATACCCTCTCACCCCACTCCCATCAAATCCTCAGGGTGTTTGATTTTGAACAAGAAAATCTTACTAATGTCCTCTAGGCAATCCAAGACCAAGTTTCTGCCAGATCTTAAGCATGGCACTTGTGAGTGTTTTATTTCATTATAATGGGAAAAGATACTATTAAGTATTTTGAGGCAGTAATATTATCATGAGTATATATCATATATATATATATATATATATATATATATAAACTTTATATGCCTATATCTTCATAAAAAGAGGATGACAGGACTTGTCATTGAAAAAGAGTAGGGGTGTAGATTTGTAGCAACAGAATAAGACACAACCATGACATCAGAAAGGAATATTGGTTCCAGAAATCAAGAAATCTGCAAAATCCAGGAAATAGCAAACAGTATTTCAAGAACTTCTCTGAAGAAAGCACCCTGATGACATCTAACTACAACTCAATTTGGGACGAGGGCCAATGGTCTTCTGAAACCATGAGCAGTGAGCAAGTTGTGTGTCTTACCTCATATTGTTATAAAAAAAATCACTCAAAATGTGGTGATATTTTATTTGTGTTCTGAAAAATAAAGCTTGTCTGGAGATCAGAGTATGCAGCTCGTCACTAGTTAACCATAGAAGCCAAGCAGAGGTGTTACACACCTTTAATCCTATTACCAAGGAGGAGGAAACAGGAAATGATATGGTTAAGCAGTAAGAAGAAGTGAAAAGGCAGGGCAAAGACAAGAACTTTGCCATTTTTTGGCAGAGAAGTTGGTGAGGTAAGGGGTGTCTGTGTCTTGTTCCTCTGTCTCTCTTATCTTTCAACATTTCCCCTAATATCTGACTCCAGGTTTTTATTATTTAGATCAATTAGAATTCATGCTACAACAAACAGCTTCACTTCTTTGTGAGATTTGGGGAGATTGAGTTTATCTCTCTGGTATCTAAGTTTTCTCTCAGTCATCTGTTATTTCTTGCTAAGGTATGTTCAGTGATAGACTCAGCAGTTTTCTTCTGCTCTTTACACCATAGAAAGCAATTTTCCACTTGTTAAACCAAACCCCTAATTAGTAGGCACATGTTGTAAACCGCGGTATTTCCTGCTACACTGTGAATAGAAATGTGGACTGCATAGAATATTGGCACCTGTGTCATCTGTGGATTGTATGTGGAATGACTTTCAAGACAGAGTAGGTACTGAATCAGCATGACAAGATGTGAGATTCTCTATTTCTTTTGAAATACTCTACCTATCCAATAATGCCATTATTCTTCCTGCTGAAAACAATTTTCATGAGTATTAGCTAATTCCTTTTTATTTGGAATAACAAAAAAATGATCATTAGTCAGAGGCAAAGTGTTTAAGATGTCTTTCTGCCAATGGTTCATAAGAAGGAAAAGCATTGTTTGCCTGTTTCCATTCCTCACTGAAGCAATGCTTTTAGTCGATACTACTGCTAATAAAGTGTAAGCAAGGACCCATTTTCTTAAAGGACTCTGAGGTCATGCTGTAATAGATTGAGGTAAAAATAGATGGACCAATTTGTTGTGTCATGAGAACAGTGACATACAGTGCTAACAAAATGACAAAATAAAAAAAGATCAAATGATTCAATCCCAAGCAAAGAAAGTATTTTCAAAACTAGTAGAAAAATAAGTGACATACTATCTATGTAGACTCTGAGAATAACTGATGGCAGCTTCCCTGACAGAAATAAACTGAAAATAAAACAACATTTTAAGAGATTTTAAAACTCAGGGCCAGGACCCAGAAAAGTACCCCAGAGACCTAGGATAGAATCAAATATGATTGGGGGAAAAACAGTCAATGAAATGATTCCTAATGATATCCTGCTTTTTTCATAGATTGATGCCTAGCCTGTCATCAGAGAGACTTCACCCAGAACCCAATGGAAACAGATGCAGAGACACACTGTCAAACATTAGGCCAACCTCAGAGAATCCTACTAATGTGGGGGAGGAAGGATTGTAGGAGCCAAAGAGCACAAAGACACCACAAGAAAACTCAAAGAATTAATTAACTAACCTCGGCTCATAGGGGATCACAGAGACTGAAAAATAACTAGGGAGCCTACTTTTATTATATTTAGGTATAAACATTGTAGGGGTGTTGAATTTTCTCAGATGCTTTTTCAGCATCTAATGAAATGATCATATGGTTTTTTTTCTTTCAGTTTATTTATATGATGGATTACATTGATAGATTTTCGTATGTTGAACCAGCCCTGCATCTCTGGGATGAAGCCTACTTGATCATAATGTATAATTTTTTTGGATGTGTTCTTGGATTCGGTTTGCCAGAATTTTATTGAAAATTTTTTTTTGACAGCCAAATCATCTTTATTGAGGGAATGGGTCTTGGGGGGGTCGGGGTCACTGGGGCCCTCACTGCATAGCTTGTTCATTGGCACTGCTTTCAGAATCCTGTGGCTTCATCACATCTGGAAGCTCTGGAGTGCTGGAGAAGGGCTCAATGTGCAGTGCTTTAAAGGCATCATCGGCTCGAAAGGCCAGGCCCACTGTGGCTGGGACCTGTGGCAGTGCTGTCTGGCCAGTGAAGCCACACTCACCTAGAGTTTTTCTATCATCAAAGAGCTGGTCATCCTTGTACAGCCTCTGCTCATCCGGTGGCCACTTGAAGATGCCCTCAACAATGTGCTTCAGCTCGAACATGCTACTCGACTCCTTGGCATCCTTGAAGATGGTGGTCTTGTGGCGACGGAGCATGAGAAACACATCCTGAGGATGGCCGGACCGCATCAATGCCAGCCTGAGGCCCCTGGCCTGGCCCCGGCACCCCCTCCGCCCCCGGCCCTTTGTGTCTATGTTCATGAGTGAGATTGGTCAGTAATTCTCTTTCTTGATTGAGTCTTTGTGTGGTTTTGGTATAGGGTAACTGTAGCTTCATAAAAGGAATTTGGCAATGACTCCTCTGTTTCTATTTTGTGAAACACATTAAGGAGCAAAGGTAAACTTCTTGGGAGTTCTGGTAGAATTCTGTTTTGAAACCTTCTGGTCCTGGGCTTTATTGGGTAGGGAGGTTTTGATGACAGCTTCTAATTCCTCGTGACTTGTAGGTCTATTTAAATTGTTCACATGGTCTTTATTTAATTTTGGTATATGGTTCTTATCTAGAAAAATGTCCATTTCTTTCACATTTTCCAATTTTGTGGCATACAGGCTTTTGAAGTAAGATCTAATGATTCTCCAAATTTCCTCTGTGTCTATGGTTATGTCCCCCTTTTCATTTCTGATCTTGTTAATTTGCGTGTTCTTTCTCTGCCATTTGATTAGTTTGGATAGGGGTTTATCAATCTTGTTGATTTTCTCTAAGAACCAACAAGTTAGACTTGTTTTGTAGAAGTCTAACCAAAAAGTTAGACTTTAAGTTATTATATTAATAACTGTATTTAATCTAAAAAACAATTTTCCAGACAGATCTTGAGAGTACTCCCATGGTGTAGAAGGGTCTTCTTTCTATGTGCTGTTTTCATTGGTCAAATAAAGAAACTGCCTAGGCCTTTTGATAGGCCAGCCCTTAGGTGGATGGAGTAGACAGAACAGAATGCTGGGAGAAAGAAGCAGCAATAGGTAGATCCCATGGCTCTCCTCTCCAAGATGGATGTGGGTTAGACTCATCTCGGTAAGCCACCATCACGTGGTAATATACAGATTATTAGAAATGGGTTAATTAAGATGTGAGAGTTAGCCAAGAAGAGGCTAGATATAATGGGCTAGGCAGTGTTTAAATGAATACAGTTTCCATGTAATTATTTTGGGTGTAAGCAGGCTGGGATTCGGGCAGCAAGAAGCGACCCATCACTCCACATTGCAACACTCCCATCCAAAGAGAGGCAGAGCAAACACTCTTTAAAAATGATTCAAAACTATTCAAATCAAAGGAGCATTAATCATGAGAAAATAGAAAAGACCTCATAAATATTACTGCAAATCAACCTGAGTATAAATGAGTGTATCTGAGAAGTGATTTATCTTATACATATCAGTTAAAATTGAATAATCATATATACATATGCATATAAGGAAAGAGAAATAACACCTGGCACTATTATTGCATATCAAATCATCTCTTCATAACGTGCAAATAATTACACACAACTTAGTAGCAAAGTATAAGGCCTAACTAGCACTATGATTTACATTAGACAACCCCAACACTTTTATGTAAACATGTACCATTTGCTAAGGTATCCATTTATTGCTTTACTAAGTAAAATTCAATATACTAAGGGGAAACCATAATTAACTTATAATTTAAATTTATAAAGAAACATACTTAGAAGAAAACCTCCACACTTGGGGAGAGTGGGAGAAAGAGATGGAGATGATAGAGTTGGAGATACATGCAGGTACATTTGGGGGAAGAAGACGGAGAAGGAGGAGCAGGAGGGAGCAAGGTCAGTCAAATAAATACCAACAATCAAAGATAAGACCATTGAACAGTATAAAATGTGGCCGCTTTAAATAGTGAAACATATGATAATAAAGCCTGATGCACATATATAAACTCACAGAGGCTGTGAAAACAAGCACAAGGCCCACACAGGTTCAAGTCTCAGCACTGAGATGGGGAAGTAGGCCTGTGCTCACACCCCTAACCAAGAAGCCATCTGCAACTGACATCAACTTGTAATGGAAAAATTAGTTTTCTGCATTGGAATCTCACTAGGTATATTATCCACACTCCTTGGTAGGCTGGTGTGGGAGAATTATCTGTATTCTGTCAATCATGTATTTTAATAAAACGCTGATTGGCCAGGCAGGCAGTATAGGCGGGAAAGCCAGACAGGAAGTAGGGGTGGAGCAATGAGAACAGGAGAATTCTGGGAAGCAGGGAGGTTCCTCTGCCACTCCTGTGCAGACCACCGAAGAGACAGCATGTAACCTGCCCAGCTAAAAAAGGTACGGAGCCATTATGGCTAACATAGATGAGAATAATGGGTTAATATAAGTTATAAGAGTTAACAAGAAGCCTGACCTAATGAGCCAATCAGTTTATAATCTTATGGAGTCTTGTGTGTGATTTTCTTTGGGGCCTGCCTGCTGTGGGGTACTGGGCAGGACAGATACCCCAACAAGCCAGCCCCTCATACTACAGTAGGCCTTATACCCAGGAGTAAATGGCCATCACTGAGCAAAACTCAATGTTTACATGTTTGACAATTTTTGTCTTGGTCTTTAATACACTATTTGGAAGGTAATTAACCATATAATATATTTATACTAATAAGTAATATAAATGTCAATGCAAAATATAAAGCAAACAAAATAAGTAAACCAAGCTTTTATTAAATATGGCACTGATAAACATCTGCCTATAATTAATAATCAATAAAATATACATTTTAGAAATTAAAGAGAGACATGATTATAAATTACAAATGTAAGAAATAATGATTAGAGGACAGAAAAAGCAATCAACAATTATAATTCATACATAAGATTCTAGCAAATATCCAATGAAATAAACTATGAAATCCAAATATATGTAAACAGAAGGCTTGTATGCAGGAAAATAATGTCAGGATATGATGTTTATATTCAACATAGCAGGAGATTCAGTATATAAATACTGTCTAATTGCTAACATATTGGCAATGTAGAAACTGGAAAATAATTTTAAAATCAATTATTATTAAAACATATTAAAGAATATATATAAATATATAAACTAAAGAATAAATAAAGATATTAATTCACAATTAAAACTTTGGCAGATGGTCTACCTCATATCTAGTTTTCCAGGCAAGCACTAAACCTTAAAAAATAAATTAATACCAATATTATTTCAAAGTCAGAGTAGAAAGAAAAGTACACTCCCTAACTTATTTTACAAGGCCAGAATTTTCCTCAAATCAAAATAAAGCAAAAACTTAAGAAAAGAATATTATAAATTGACTTTCTTGTGAATACAGATTCAAATATACTTAGTAAAAATTATAGCAAATTGAATCTAATAAAGTGGGATTTATTCTAGCAATGAAAGGTCAGCTTGACATCAAAACCAAATCAATTTAAAATGCTGCATTAGCAGAAAAACAGCAGAGATGGCTATGATGATTTCAAATGACACAGGTAAAGCATTTGCTAAAATTGTAAACCAATTTCTGTTACAAACTCTGAGAGTCCTAAAAAAAATGAAAAGTGTCTATCAGGAAGAACAGCAGATATTCACTAATGACAAAGAAAAAATGCCTTTCCTCCAGAACACAGCCATCCACAGCAATAGCACTATAGACTAATTCTAAAACAAAAAACTAATCTTTGCATGTGTACACCTACTTGTGTACTCTTTATGTGTACTTCTGTGTGTGGCATGCTCATTCTGTGTGTGACTCATTGCTCATGAGTAAAAGCAACAGATTAGTCTTGGGTATCAGTCCTCACCTTCTTCTTCAAGACAGACTCTCCATTTCTCATGGTTGTGTACACTCGGCTGTCTAGTTTGAGAGCTTCATGGGAGACTCCTTTCCGAAAATAATAGTACTTCAGTTGAGACATTGTGTCTAGCTTTAATTGGCTCTGGAGAATCTGACTTGTGAAGCAAGCTCCTTACCCACTGGATCATCTCAGCAGACTACAAAATTGATGTTTACTTTATGCCAGACCCCCTCCCTTTTTTCAAATAACAAAATTAATAAAGCCTGTTAAAATAAAAACATTATAGCTATAGACCTTGTTAAACTGCATAGATATAATTTAATAGTTAAACAAAATTGATTAGTTAAACATTTATGGAACACAAACCATAATGAGAAAAATATTAAACATATTACAAAGGTATAAATTTCTGTTCCTTAAATGTCACTATCAAGAAAATATCATGCGCAGACCATTATTTTTACACTAATTAAAAAGACTTTATTATAAAATTAAAATATGGGCATGAAGAAATGGTTCATTGATTAAAAGTGCTTCCTGTTCATCCCCAAAACCCATATAGTACCTCACAACTCTCTATAATTCTGGTCCCAGGGATTCCAATGTCCTCTTCTGGTTTCTGTGGTCACTGCCTTCACATGGTACATATAGTACAGATAAAACACTGAAACAAATATAAATAAAAAATAAAAATACCATTTAAAATAATGTAACAGACAAAATTTGTAGCACTTTTTCAGTAGTTGGGTGGATGTCATTAAAAACATACACAGGATTTTCTTGGCTCAAAAGCATGAAAACATATGCCCTTTAAAACTGTTCCAAAGCAGTCGAGGTCAACTGCAGCACACCACAAGTTCTTTTACAGTGAGGCTTCTATTCTGTATCCTGACTTAGGGAGTGGTTGTACAGTTTTATGACTTTTACAAAACTCACAAAAATCTATGCCGAATGGAATCAATTTTCCCTATGTAATTATGAAAATCAACATAAATATTTGAATAGGGTTTCCTCCCAAAAGATGTATATGCCAAAAAAAGCATTGGTACAATACCACCATTGAGAGTATAGAAATTAAAACAATCACAAAATTAAGGACACTAAAAATGTGGAGAGTATATATGAATTTTATGGAGAAACAATTCTTACTGCTGTTGCTTAACCAGGTTTTCCAGGCAATGCATACATGATTACCAAATGATAAAGTATTTTAACTCTCAGCTACTTAGTAAAAGTAAATGGAAATCAGTATTTACAGAAATTTCTGAACTCAATCTTAGCTATACACGAGGCCTTCTATAGTAGACGCATTTCCATGTCCAAACCGTGGTATTTCGATTTCAACTTGTCACGTGTGC